AGGGCCCTAGGGTTGAGGGTTTGGGGCCTTAGAGCAGGGGCGCATTCCTGGATGGGTTCTACAAGAGATCTGCAAGGGCTTAATTATAAGATTCGTGAGAAAGGGTTTCTATAAGGGGTCTATACGGCTGCAGAGCCCTCTCTAATCACTATGGGACGAAGTAACCCGGGATATAAACAAGGCTCACAAACCCCCAAATCCTAAACCCGCTCGCTTCCCGTACAAATTACACCAGCAACCCTCGATCCCAAACCCTACTCCACACCCTAAACCCCTAAAGCAAAAAACCTCAACCCTAAACCCCCCAATCCCTATAATCCCAGAACGCCCAAAACCCCTAAACTTTCAGAAACCCTCAACCCGAAACCCTGAAACCTCAGATCCCCTATCCCTGCCACGTTCGGGCCCTGCCTCCGCCTTCACCTCTAGCGCGGGCGGTAGCTCCTCCTAGGCGTGGGGCTTCGGATTTCGGGGTTTAGGGTTTGAGGTTTCAGGGCTTAAGGGCTTTGGGTTAAGGGTTTAGGCTTTATAGGGTTTAGGGCTTAGGGTTCAGGAGCGTGGGCGGTGGATTTTGGGGCTGAGGGATCTTCCAGGGTTATAAGGCTTTGGGCTTCAGGGCAAAGGGTTGTAGGGCTTCCGGCTCAGGAGCTTTAGAGTTTCAGGGCTTTCAGGAGTTTAGGGTTGAGTGGTCATAGGGTTAGAGCTTTAGGCTTTAAGGGTCTTAGGGTAAGGAGCTCGGGGGTCATGGGTTATAACTTATAACTATGGCTTTGAGCTTTGGGGGTTGCCACAGAGGCTTGTAAAGACTGGTGACCAAGGTTCTTGAGGGTCGTAGGCTACTGATGGTCCCCCCGAAATCTGAAAATACCACCTCGTGCTGCTGCTGCTGCTCCTCCTCTGCTGCCGTCATGATGTATGTCTTAAGCTTGTGTTAGTCATTAGTGGCGCCTACCCTTAATCCCCTAAACCCTCAACCCTAAACCCTCAACTCGAAACCCTTAAACCCGAAACCCTAAACCCCGCAACCCTAAACCCTGATCCTCAACCCTAAACAGTCAACCCGAAACCCATGCAACCAATTGTGTTTGTGCATGTTTTATCTAAAGTAAGGTTAGAAGTACCCTAATTGGTGTTATATGCAATTATAAGTTAAGTACCATTGTTTATAACCCTAGTTACTAAGTCCCATGATCCTTTAAGTACTGCAACGACTAGCGAGTCGAAGGACGACAGGAACCGAAGAGCAGCACTGCGTCCTGTAGGGGCCTTAATCATTAAGGAGTGGGGGTTCCCGGGGTTCCCTCTAAAGGGTTCTTGAAAGGGTTTACGGTTTAGGGTTTAGGGTTTTAGGGTTTAGGGTTTAGGGTTTAGGGTGGTCCTGTAAGGGTTACTATAAGGGGTACTATGGGGCCTAAATAATTAGAATAGGGTTTTAGGACCCATTATGCTGTAATTTGATAAGGAACCCCGGAAGCAGTACAGGTAATTACTTCGGCCCCTCTAGTAGTGTATAGTACTGGAAATGTCTATACGGTATGATTCAGTGAGTGTCATATGGTACGATATAGTATCCATTATCCGTGGTGTAACATCTCTATCATAATAATCTGTGTTAGAAAAATTAGGCTGTGCGAAAATTAGGCTGTGCGCAAAGCCGGTGCCTCCTACATCGCATTAACTCGAGCACCAAATAAGGAAACCATGGCATCATACACGACGGGGCTTAGAACAGCAGCAGCAGGCAATTGCATGTGGCATCGAACCTGAACCAAAATCCCCAACCGACATTGTCGTTTGGCGATCCCCTTAAATTCCGAACCCTATTCAACCCTAAACCTCAACCATGCAGCGTGGTCCCTCCCATTCCAGACCCTAAACTCCAAAACCCCTAACCCCTTTCCATCCTGAAACCTAAACCGCCTAAACCCGAAAAAACCCTAAACCCTAAACCCTACGCATCCTGAAACCTAGACCGCCTAAACCCTAAACTCTCTACATCCTGTAACCTAAAATGACCTAAAACGCCTAAACCCCAAAGTGCTCCAAAGCCCTTCACCCTCCCCGTGAACCTCGCTTACTGCCGGCGGGGTTGGTAAGCGCTGTTCGACGTGCCTCAGTCTGCTGGGTTCTGCTTAAAGAGTTAACCCTAAGCCCTAAACCCTAAACCCTAGTTGAGTTTAAGCTACCATAAACAACCAGTTATTTGCTATAAACTCTAAAGCTCAACCAAGATCGCTGATATGGTAACTTAACTTACATTCCTTGACAAGAGCCCCTTCCAGAAAGCCCTGCATGTTTCTTAGAAGGAACTTTACGGATAGGGTCCAGGGGTTCTGGGGTCTGGGGGTTTAGGGCTAAGGGTCTACTTAAAACATCATTGGGCTTAGTATCTAGGACTATACATAATGTAACTATACTTACAGTTATGCAAAATGCCCATTAAGGTACTTATAATCCTGCCTACTAAATCCTGGGATCCTCCGTTTAGGGTTTAGTGTGCCGGGCTCAGAGCTTCCTTAAAGGCCTATTATACTATAATGGGTTACTACAAGAAAGGGCTACTGTAAAGGGTTGCTTGACAAACCCTGCTTGACAGTCACAAAAGAACTAGGGCAAGATGTTATACTCTTTAGTCGGATGTGTTTGAGGTGTCGGTAAGGCTACAAGTAGTTGAAGGTCTGCAGGGTTTAGTGTTCGGGTACTGTAGGGGGCCATAATGATCAGAACAGGGATTTGGAGTTTGTTGTGGTGTAACTCAAAAAAGTGCAGGCTCTATGCCTTTCCATCTCCCAAAAAGCAAACCGTGGAATTGAATCAAGACCCACATGGGAGTTTCGCGAAAATAGGGTACCCTAGTAGAGTACCCTAGTAGGATCTTGATGACAAGGACCCCAAAATAAGGTAACCCAAATTTTCGGAAACTCTGAACCCTAATCCCTTTACAGAACCCTTATAGATCCCTTTACGGAACCTTTTAAAGGAACCCTTAGGTACCCCCTAATACTTGGAAACTCGGGCCCTGGGTCACAGACGGCTTATGTCAACAAAAACAATACTTCGAGGATCAGGGGACATAGTAAGTGCCGTTATACGTACATTAGTTGGGGTTATAGGTAATTACAAGTATACTTCGTAACCTTATCTATAGTACGGTTATAAGTTATAATTATAAGTACCCTAGTCGGGGTTGGAAGTAACCATAAGTATAGTTACCTTGTTGCCTTATTTATAACTCTAGATTCTAAGTCTCATGATCCTTTAAGTAAACCCTAAACCCTAAACCCTGTAGATCCCGTTAAGGAAACCCCTATAGATCCCTTTAAGGACCCCTTTAAAGTTACTAAGTCTCATGATCCCTTAAGTAGATCCGCCCCAGGGGAAGATCCAACGACCGGACAGAACAACCGCTGAGTGGCGGGAGAAGCAGCCAGCGCACCTGCGGGTTTTGGGGGCTGTAACCCCTAAACCCCAAGCCCTATAAGCCCCCAAAACCCCAAGCCCTATAACCCCCAAACCCCCAAACCCCCAAGCCCCTAAGCCCTACCCTTTTGGGGGCTGTAAGATTTAATGTAGGGGCCTATTAGAAATAAGTGTAATGAATAAGGCTAAGGAACCCCCAAAATAGTATAGGTAGTTATTTAGGCTCCTAAAGGTGGTGTTCCACTGCTGGGGCTGGGGACTTGCAGCGCTTTATGGCTTAAGACCTACTTGTCGGGTATCATGGGGAACCAAAGGTTAACCAGTTTGGTTATATAGGGATTATATACGGAATATACTACCCAAAAAGGTTAACGGTTACCTACTCTGCTCCTGGAAAAGGGCTGATCAATCAAGGGTCTCCCTTGACACTTTTACGTTGAGGTCTATAGTACATTGACCGCGGCGTCATCATCTGCAGATGGCTGCTTGACGAAAACGAAATTCGAAATCCTATGCTGGAACAGTCTCTCACCCAGACAGCCCAATACTCCTTAACTAAGGAATATACCGTAAAAATGAGGGGATTCACGTTATGATTTAAGCTTATTCCTTAATTAAGAGGTATTGGGCTCTCTGGGCAGGTTTAACCCCCAATAAGCCCCATCATGTGTTGTGCTTGCTCAATGGTCGCCAATCGAGATTGGAATACCAAAAGCAACAAGCTTCGAGACTCTTTAGCGGTCTTGCAGATATATCCTGAACCCCAAACCGTCCCAAACTTCAGAAGCTAAAGCCTATCCAACGCAGAGTCAAGTACTGTCTGAACCCTAAGGCCCTAAGAACCCTAAGGCCCTAAGAACCCTAAGGCCCTAAGCCCTAAGCATCCCTGAACCCTGAACCGCTGACTAGACCAGAAGCCGCATACGCAAAACCCCCCCCCACTCCCAAACCGGTTTAGGGTTTAGGGATTAGGGTTTAGGGTTTAGGGTTTAGGGTTTAGGGTTTAAGGGTTTAAGGGTTTAAGGGTTTAGAGAACCCTCAGCCCTGCAACCCTGTCAGTACAGCCCAAAACAGCTGCCAACACCGTCATGCACCTCGAGCATCCAAGGACCAAAATAATGGGATTCGTGTAACAAGGACTCCGCGAGAGATCTCCACTTCTAGGGCCCCCGCAGCCATCCCAGCTTTTGTCCATATGCTAAGGAATATGATGCCTTCGGGGCTTGGGGTTTAGGGTACCCATAAACCCCCAAAGGCCCCCTATAAATGACATTTAGTCCGGTTGCTTATTGATTGACACCCTCTACCTTCACCATGCCATGCACCTGATATCCTAATCCGTCCTAAACCCTGACAACAATAGCAATGGAGCCTGGTACCCTCAAGCTGGGATCTGTGTTAAGGGGCTTGACAAGTACTTCAAGGGACTTAGAAAATTGAGAATTGAATAGTTTTGCGGGTATCTTATATGATATGTAAACATAAACCGAGTGACTATGCTGCTCCTTAAACCCAACAAAAACCTGGAAGCCCCCAAATCATAAGCCCAAAAACCTGAACCCGATGTTGGGGTTTAGGGG